CCTTTGCCATTCGAACCGGTGTCGAGCAGGGCTGTATGACTGCATCAGTTCTGTTTTCCATCTTTCTTGCGGTCATCAAGGTGTTCATCCATCATTGCCTGCTATATGGCATCGGCATCAAGTACAGGGTGGATGGGAACCTTTTTGATCTTTCCCACCTCTGTGCCAAAACCAAAGTTATATCAGCCTTGATTGAGGAACTTCAGTACACTGATGACTGTGCTGTCATTGCACATACTGAGGAGGACCTACAAATGGCCCTTTACTGCTTCTCTTAAGCATGCCTGGGACTGACCCTTAACATCAGAAAAACAAAGGTGCTTTACTAGCCTGCTTCAGGCCAGTTATCCCCCCTCAATAAAGATCTTCATTGATGGACAGGAGCTAGAGAAGGTTGAACACTCTTCATCCCTTGGTAGCCATCTCTCAGAAAAGGCCAACATCAATGAAGAAATCCAGTCTAGGATCTGATGTGCCAGCTCTGCCTTTAGAAGGCTGTATCATTGTGTATTCTATAAGCACAACATCAGGACTCAAACAAAAGTTCTGTTATACTGGGAAAAACTAGCCTGGGACAGGTTTACATCGTGATGCCTTGTGAGAGAAGGTACACCTTACTTTGAGGAAACCCATCTTGCCCTGGAGGCAGAAAAATGACAGAAATAAAAGGAAAGAAAACAAGACTGAGAAACTCACAATCTGACCCTCCCTTTAACCTCCACTTGTGGCATCTTCCAGAGAGTCTGTGGCAATCTTCTTAGCCATCAATGGACTCATCTACAACCCTTAACTTGACCCGTGGGAGTGATCAACTTCAACTGTGAGGGATTGCTGATAATGACATCCTTGACCAGAAGCAAGGGGGGAGCAAGAAAAGAACTGTGACTGGCCTGGATGGTGGAGCTGCATGTGGTTCTTAACAAAAACCCATGGCTAGTGCATGCAAGAGGGGGATGACAATAGGTCCTATGATTTCCCAATAGGTTAGTGCTTAGACAAATTTGCCCAGGAAGAGGGAGACCGAGGTTCTAGGTTTCTTTCAATCACAGGGAGTTTGAACAGACACATCCTGCCTACTAACCACCAGACCACAAATTAGGCATTGTCCAGTCCCTTCTTCAGCCCTTCTTTTGAAGCTGAGCTACCTGGCACCTGAGAGAGAGATGTAGGGCTAGGAGGAAGAGAGATGGCAGCTTCCTTAAGAGAGGTCCTCAGTTTTTGCTTAGATTCTTACTCCCAGTGTGGAAGTTTTGCCCAGCTACAATTTTGGGACTTATGCTTGCTCAGGTAGGCATGTACAGAGCCATGTACCTGCCCAGCCAGAGCACAGGATACTGTACATACTCAGGAACTATGTGGACACTTGTGCAGCTGCACTGTATGTGGAATAGAATCGCAAACTGAAAAGTGCCAAAATGGCAATCATGAAATCAAGCAAGCACTATCTGGGCACTTGAAATGAAATAGGATTCTGCCCTAAGGCTAGATAAAGACATTCAAAAAAGCTGGAGGCAGAATTGATCTAAGTTATGCAGTTTCTGTAAGTGGCACAGTTTAGATAGATAGCAAACAGAACACACATTCACATTTTGGTGGTGAGGGGCAAATCTTAGACTGGGTTCTGCTATTTTTAAACCAGTCTGTGTGTACCGAACTTCTGTTCTCTTATGGGTATAGACTAGTTTCTGATCACTTGTACCAATAAAAGTATAATGTCTGTACCTGGCTTAAATGTCTGTTTTTAATGAGTTGTTTATTTGCCCAATTCCAGAGGTCGTAAATTGTATAGTGCTTTGAGGCTAACTGGAGGCTATTTCTCTAATTAATGTAGGGTTATTTTCTGGCCTAGCCACTAGAAGCTAGATTCTATTCCATCTATTAGGTGCCTAATTGTAATGCTATTCATAGATTCGTAGTTAGGGCTGGAAGAGACTTCAGAAGATCATTGAATCCAGCCCCTGCCCAAAGGGCAGAAAGTCAGCAGGTATCGTAGGATCCCAGCAAGATAAGCATCCAAATGTCTCTTGAAGGCGTTCAAAGTAGGTGCTTGAGCCACCTCCGGCGGTAGTCTCTTCCATACCTTGGGGGCTCAGACCGTAAAGAAGTTCTTCTTTACGTCCAGCTTGAAACTATCATGGAGGAGTTTGTGACTGTTCGATCTTGTCATCCTTTGGGGTGCTCTGGTGAACAGACATTCCCCCAGATCTTGGTGAGTATCCTTGACCTCTGATCACACGTGTGGCTCTCCTCTGGACTCTCTCAAGCTTCTCTACGCCCTTTTTGAATTGTGGAGCCCAAAACTGGACGCAGTACTCCAGCTGTGGCCTCACCAAGGCTGAGTACAATGGGAGAATGATGTCCTGGGATTTGCTTGAGAAGCATCTATGGATGCAAGCCAGGGTTTTGCTCGCTTTACTAGCCGCAGCATCACATTGAAGGCTCTTGTTCATCTTGTGGTCAATCATGACCCCCAAGTCCCTTTCATCCAAAGTGCTAGCCAGTGTAGCACTGCTGAACCTATAAGCATGCTGTGGGTTTTTCCTCCCAAGGTGGAGAACCTTACATTTTTTGGTGTTAAATGCCATCAGGTTCTTGTCTGCCCATTTCTTGAGCCTGTCAAGGTCAGCCTGGATTGCTGAAGTCCCTAAAAAAATGTTTCAGGGACTTGGGGAAGTTTGTGTCCTTTGGTAACACACCATGCTTTTGGTCTTACAGCTGTCACAAAAAGCAGCAAGGAGGAGAATGACCCATGCATTGTTTCATAAACTCAAGAGATTTAAGCAGGGTGGAACAGGTTCATTCTTAACTTAATTCCACTTAGGTGCCCAATAGGTGGAATAAGATCTGGCTGTTGGCTCTCAGGGGACTGTGGAGGTCTGGGACATTTCACATGTGTTCAAGGGTCTGTTAGAACTTGTAGTGATAATATAAGACTCCCTAGAAAAGACCTGTATGAAACATTTTTGAGAGAGGCTCGAGGTTGAGGACTCAGACATTAGGGAGGTTCCCATCATGTGGCAGTGCTGAGAGCATGAAAATCTCCCTTTCTCTTTCCTCTGTGGCCTGAGATTTGAGTATAAATGAAGGCCCAGTTTATTTTTGGTGATGCATGCACCAGCCTTGTTCCTTGTGGTTCTGCTATTAGAATGTGAGAAATGCCATTTATTGGGTCAGATCATAGGTCCACCTTGCCCAGTATCCTGTGTCACAGTGGTAGAGAGTGGATGCTGAAAGGGAGAATGAAGTGAGTATGATAAGGGTTTTTTCCACTGTTCCTCTCCTACTTGCAGCCTCTAGCATTTAGGATCTAGGATGTTCTAATTCATAAGTTGCACCCCTAACTCCCATGCTTAATAGCTACTGATACCCCTTTCCTCCAAGAATTTGTCCAATCCCTTTTTGAATCTGGCCAAATGGTCAGCTTCCACAGCATCTGGTGGCAAGGAGATCCACACTGTAATTACATGCTTTGTGAAAAAGAACATCCTTTTGTTAGTTTGAAACTTATTGCCTACTAATTTCATTTTATCACCCCTAGTTCTTGTATAATAAGAGGCATCTATATGTGCAATTAATATGACATGATAAACTCCAGTGCAGCTCATACTGGAGAAAACTGTTCATGTACCTGGGATTGCAGCACTTCTGAGTCCAGGTATGCAGGGGAGGGTGAGGCCATTGGCAGGGTGGGGAGTCAGCCCCAGGCTCTGGGTGGTTGCATCTGAGGCTGGCTGGGTCACAAGGGTGCTACAGTACAGGGCTATGTGACAGTCAGCCCCATCATTTGGGGCCAGCCCTGTCATTGAGCCAGCCCTGTCACCATCTACATGTGTGTTTCAGAGGAGTAAATTACTCCACCGTAAGATAATAATGTCCCTGACAGTACTATCCTGTGGTGGAGTTAATTTACTGTGCTCTAATACTGGTGCAGTAAAGCACCCATGTACATGCACCCAGTAAATAATAAATCCCCATTTGCTTTCTCTTCACTGTTTAGTATTTTGTAAACCCTTATCATGTGCCCCCTTGAGTATCTCTTTTCTAAACTGAATAGGCCTATTTAGTCTTTTCTCATACAAAAGCCCCTCTGTACCACTAGTCATCTTTGTTGCCCCACTCCATATCTTGTCTAGCTCTTCTATATCTTTTTTGAGATGAGGCTCCAAAACTGGGCACAGTATTCAAGGTGTGGACACACAGTGAATTTAGAAAGGGGCATAATGGTACTTTCTGTTTTGTTTACAATTACCCTAATAATCTCTAACATTTTGTTTGCCATTTTTATGGCTGCTGAGCACTGTGCTAAAGTTTTTAGTGAACTGTCCACAATAATTCCCATATCTTTTTCCTGTGTGGTGACAGCTAATGTAGAGCGCATCATAATGTAGGTATAATTTGGGTTATCTTTGCCCAGGTGCATCACTTAGTCACTTAGTTGACCATTCACTCAGTAGTGCCAGATCTTTCTATAGTTCCTTGCAGTCCATCTTAGTCTTTACCACTTTGAATACATTTGAATTCCCACTTTGAATTACCTTCACTGAGTGGAGGTTTATGTTGTATGAGCAGCTGTAAGAAGTGGCTGAGGCTCCATAGGGTCTCCCTGACTGAGATTACTGTGGAGATGCCAAACCCTGAGCATCCCACTGGTCAGACTGGCTCCTGGTCAGCACCTCCGCATTGGGCTGCACTGTTTCCTGAAGGCATTTCAGGGAGGAAATGTTGAAACTAATTTGCACTAATATAACCTGCTTCCTAGGCAGACTTTGGTATTACAAGGAGCCTTTGCCAATGTCTATGCCATCCCTGTCTGAATAAATGAAATGAATGAAATCATTCCCTTGTTTTATGTCCACAGTTAAATGCATATTGAGTCTCAGCTGTATCAGGAAAGCTTAGTAGTTAAAGACTGCATGAAGCACTCTTGCAATACATAATATTGTTGTATGAAATTTTATTAATTCTGTCTATATTCATCTGCATTTATGTTTTGATCACAGGTATATAAATCTATGCCCCATAACCTTATTAAGCAAATGGATAATGGTACGATTAAAATGTCGATTACCAGTATTACTAATGGGAGCATCGTGGTAGGTTTCAGTTTAGTGATAGCAGAAGATCTGGACATCCAGCACATTGCCACAGCTTTCCGTGATGCCTTTCAACACAGTTCTTATTTCACAGTTGACAACAACAGTCTCTCCATACATGGTAAGGTGCAATTTATATCACTGTAATTTTTCAAAGCTGGCAAAATGATAAAGAGTATCTTTAGTTTGTGATTTTTGGAACAGAGAAACTGTAAAAAGTGACAGATGAAAAGCCATTATTTTTCCCTAAGTATTTCTGCCAATTCATCCAATTAACTTTTGCAGAGAACATGAAAAGATAAAGCAAGAAATGTGATGCAAGGATGAAAACAACTGCTCCCCTTATCCTAAACCCAACCTGAAATGCAGTATTTCCCTCTACAGTATATTGGTTTCCCCCAGCCCAGGTGCAAAACAATAAAAACTCCAACACATTAATTATCTAGGCAATAATTGTGTCTGTTACACTGTCAATTAATACTGCCTACTGCTCACTTGCAAAACTCAGATGAAGACCATCAGTCTGGTATAATCATAAATGGCTACTATACAATTTCTCCTTTACAAATCACTTTTGAGACTGATCAATAATACTAATTTCTTAACTGCTGCTGAATCCTACTTCACAGATTGATGTATTTCTGGAAAAAAAAATTTTTTAAACCATCACCATATTTGGTATTCCACCATTTCACTATGCTGATTCAAAAGATACAGTTTTAACCTCTCAATTAGAATCTCAGGGAGGATACATGAGAGCTTTATTGAAATTTGTGCATTGAATTTAGTGCATTTTCCTTGTCTGCCAGATCTCCAACTGTATATTCCGAAAGATTTAGAAAACCGTCAGCCCTGATGTGTCCTTTATAACTGTGCCCTCTGCTGCACTGTTCAGCAAGGCATTGTATTTTAAGGGCTATAGTCTGTCACATTTAAGTGACTTCTTGTTGGGCAAAACACTTGTCAGTGCATTGAGGATTCTGAAATTTGACCCTGGAAGTTTAGAAGAGTTCACTTTGGTTTTTTGCCTTCTGATTTAAGCTGTGAGTGCTCAATTTAAATCTGTTGTGTTTAAAGCAACCAAGTACATGTTCCCTTTATGGAACAGAGCCTGATTTACGTAAGAAATGTATGCTGTGCCAATGGCTTACCATATGGTGGTGTATTTCCTCTACTACCACCATCATCACCACAGCCATGTGCCACATAATAAGAGGAGGATGACGGTTATCATGGTAGCCTTTCAGCACCTACAAGGATGTATTTGTCCCCTGGAAACTGTACTAATGAATAGTAAGGGTTTGTTGCAAGGTAACAAGGACTCTTTGTGCTGCAAGTGCTAGAGGCTGATGCTACAAGTGTTATTGGTTGGTGCGTCATATTAGTTATAGTAGCAAGTAATAGGGGGAAGTTGGAAACCAGCCTGCATCAATGCTTCCATCTGAACTTGCAAAAATCTCAGAAACTTCAACAGTTTTTTTCTTTGAAATTATACATTTTGACCAAATATGAGAATTCAGATGAAAATTTTCATGTTTTTTTTTCCTTTCCAGCTTTTCAGCCAGTGTTTTAACCATCTCCTTCCTTATAGGAATACTTGGGGCAGGGTGGGACAGGGGGAGTAACAGCTGTCGTTTTTCAGGGAAAAATGAAAAAATCACTGGGGTGAGTGTCAGGGGATTTCTCATCAGCAGTACAGAAGGAGGCTCTTGTTGATGGCATTTGTCTAGGCAGTGATATAAGTATTTTTGCTGTACTAGACTCCCGTTAATAGCAGTACTGTAGGGAGCAAGCATTATAGTGATATGATGCTACCAACAAGAACTGGTTTCACAGTGACACCATGATGGAAGTTCCAGTTTGTGAATAATCAGGACTTCAGTCACAAACTCTCTTTTTTTTTTCCCCCACTTTAAAAAACAGATTATGATGAATGCAAGAGAGAAGAAGATGACTGTTCAGTGGAGGCATCATGCCATAACGTATATGGGTCCTATCAATGCAGCTGTAATGAAGGATTTATTGATCTAAATTCGGACAGGCCGGGGAGAAACTGCAAAGGCAATAATTTCTATTCCCTCCTGACTTTATTGATGTTTTAATGATCTGGTCTTTGTAAAATCGTTTGGTCACATCCATCTGCAATGAGCCTCCACCTCAGGCCATAGAGTTATGTGTAGGATAAATGTGACTCAGGGAGCATCTACATGTGGTTTAAGGTGCATTAGTCATTTTTAAGGGGCACCAAGGGCATGAGTCTATACGTATGCACCCTTAATGCACCTTAAAAATGGTGATTTTAGGCTAATAACATCTAAATTTAATCCCTGCATGAAGCATGAAGTGTCAAATTTAGGTGTGATTAGTTAAGGCACCTTAACCCACACGTAGATGCTGTAAGGCACCTTAACACTATGTGATTGAGGGGACTGAGGGGTCCTGCGCTGCCACGGTCTGGCAGCAGCAGTCCCTGTCAATTTGCAGTAAGTCAGCAGAGGGAGCAGCGGTGGGAGAATGCATACCAGGGGCAGGCCCCTCCATGACTCCCTGCAGGGGAAGGGGGCAGTGCAGTGTGGGCACAGCCTTTGCTAGTCGCTCCCCTGTGCCCCTCCCTCAGGGCAGGTTTGCTGGCCGGGTAGTGCAGCCCTACAGAGCCAGGATACCTCACTGCTTTCCCAGGATTCAGGCGTCCTCAGAAGCCTGCACTGTCTAGGGTGCTGACCAGGGCAGACTGCCCAGTGAGCTTCATTAAGGCAACTTAGGGTGTCCACATGTAGACGTGCACCTAAATCACCTTAATGCACCTTAAGCTAAGGCACATTAAATTTAGGGTGCATAAATTCACATGCAGATATGCCTTCAGCGTGTGAAAACATATCAGATTAGAAAAAAAGTGTATTTTGGTGTATCTTTAGTGTTTGTATTAGTATTTCTAGTATTATACTCAGTAGATTTTCAACATGCTTTTTTTCATTGCAAGAGTATGAGCATTTGATGGGGTCAGGCCATTCTCATTATTTTTTTAACAATGATTTTTTTTCTTATTTTTGCCCTGACAAGTTAACAGAACTATCACAAGCACTAGTTATTTTCACAAGCATTAACAGAGGGAGCAGCAGAGGCAAAAGAAAAGAAAATATAAATCAGAGTGCAGGCAGTTTTAGTCACATTAAATACTAATGTTATTAATGATTTGTTTGTCTATACTCATTTCATCCAGCTTTCTCCAGCTTTTCTCAAATAATTTACTGTTTAGTTAAAATAGGTGGTATAGTTTCACAGATCCTTTGACCACATTTTTTATGGTTTGTATTTGTTTTTGTAGCCATAGTGATAAATTACAGGTATTGGCTGAAGTCACAAGGCTTGTAAATATATACTGGTCTTGGTTTGATGTCAGTAAATCAAGCAGCTTTAACACTATAATAGTAAAGATTTGGGAAAGATCTTTCTGAAATAGTTTCTGCTTCTTTTCTTTTTTTTTTCCTGGCATCAAATCAGGAATTTTTCAATTAGAGACATTCTTGAAAGATGTGAATCGTTTCCCAAGACGTTCTTTTCCCAGTGTAAATCACAGGATAGATGCTATTTATGTGTATAATTCAGTAAAATGTTGCATAATAGAATCTATATGACCCCAAATGCACCCACTATTAGTTATGTGGGTGTAGGCCATTTACATTGCCTCTGTCAATGATGGATGAAGACAGGTATTGTAGGTGTTGTTAAAAAAAAATACAGGTTAACTGACTAGGTAGGAAGAAGGATTAGAAGGAGGAGTTTGGTGTTTAGTGCCCATATGCGTATCACTCCCCTCAATTCTCTCCCCCTTCTCCCCCTGCCAGAGAAACCCCCCATTTGTTATTCTCCTCACTAGGTCTGTTTACATTTATCCTCTTATGAATGACAGTGTAGTTAAGCATTGGAACAGGCTATCCAGAGAGGCTGTGGAATCTCTATTTTTTGGATGTTTTTAAGATCAGGTTAGATGGATACTTGATTGGGCTGATATAGTCAGGGACAATCCTGTTTTGAGCTGGGAGTTTGCCAAATGACCTCTTGAGGTCCTTTTCACTCCTACATTTTTATTATTTTATGATATGTATTTGTAATACACATCTGCTGTACCTGTACCATGCTGCACTCCAGATTTTTCCAAAGTGGTCAAGGACAGATATTTAAGTCTAGAGACAAAAATTACACATAAACTGGTATCAGTGAGTGGAAACTAGTTCAAAGCTGTAACACAACAGAAATTCAGTGCATTTCAAAATTGCCAAAACCGGTTTAAGATAAACCTGGATGGATATAATATCAGACTTAACTGCTTTATGTTAAATTGGTTTGCTTCTGTCCCAGATCCCCTCCAGATTCAAGTTAACTCACGGTCCCCCACTATCCCAGGATGCTTTGCACCTCCTCTGCAAACCCTGCCTGGCAGGGTGTGTGGGCTAGCTTTGACCCAAGCTGTTTGCTCCAGGTGAGCAGAGAGGTGTGCTCTGGCACCCTCTAGCATCTGGCCTGTGACACCGCAGGTATATGGCTGCATTTTCCAAATCAAAGGTGAATGTTTGTTCACTTGCTTATCAGTTAAATCTATGCAACTTAGGCTAACCTGGAAAAATTGAATTGATTCAGCCTTGATCTTTTTGACTGTCTGTACTTAGCCCAAATGTCTGGCACTAACAAGTAGAACCAGATTTTCTAAAGAGCTCTGGTGCAACTTAGGCACCCTTATGAGGACCAGACTTCCCAAATTGCTCAGCAGCCAGCGGCTCTTATTGTGAAGGTTTGTGCAGCAAAATCTGACTACTCATTTTTGTGCCTAAATGAGAGCTCAGCAGTTTTTAAATTCTGGATCCCAAAAGACTTGTGGAAGCTGAATACACATTGTGAGTGAATCAGTTATTGCATTTCTAGAGACACTGAGTTTTTCGTGTCATTTTTAATCAAGAAAAAGCTCCATTGTGCAGTACCTACATGTGATCAGTTAAGAAAGAAATCTACTTTTTAGCCAATAACTGAGTTTCCTTCTTAAAAAACTCAAAATAAAAGGAAGTCTTTAAGAAATGAGTTAGGGTCTACAAATTGGATTAAATCTTTTTATTCCTTTACAGCATTTTCTCCCAGTGGTAGTCCTGCAGCTACGGATGACAATCCTGCAGGCAGCACAGTTTTTCCTGTGGCACATTCACTGCCTTGGGCACATGTATCTTCACTTGCTGCAGAAGAGTCCTTCGCTACTAAACCCAAAGTTCTGGAGCATGCTATGTTCTCTAGCTCTGCAGTACCTCAGGCCTCCCCAGACTCTATGTCAAATGTCTACCATTCTCCACCAGTCACCCCTCTCCCATCCATTAACTCTGCCCAGAGGCTTTCCATAAAAGATGCTGTGAAGGTATTCTGTGAAATTGAAAAGATTGTCATTGCCATTCAGAAGAAATTTCTGCAGCAAGAATCTATCCCAGAATCTTCGCTCTACCTTGGGGAACCTCATTGCAATGTGAGCTTCCGCAATGACACCTCTGTTGTACTGCAGACGGGGTGGAACGAATGTGGAACTGAAGTACAAAGTGTGAGTCATCTGAATGGGTGAATATGAAGAAACATCCAGGTCCCATATTTCTGTGTCCCTACTGAAGGTAGTAGGAGATACTGGACTAAGGTGTGCAGTGGGGCAGTTAGTTCTTGTCAGAGCTTCCTGCACTGATGAACCAAGAACTCAGCTCTTCTTGCACTGTGAAAAGTGATCCTTAAACCTAGGTAGGAAGTAAATGGAAGGGAGATGATGATTGTTGCCTCCAATGCATCCAGAATTCTGACCTACTTCCCATGCCACCTTAGGTTACAAAAGCCCCTAGTGGTGGTCTTCTCTTGATTTTCATAACCTCTGCCTTTCTTCAAAATATTTTATACTGTAATATCTAAATAAATATCCCAAGAAATGCTGCACTAGGTAGTAGACACTGAGGAGTAAGACCCTTTTGTGCAAAAGGGTATGGCATCATATATATCTCATATGCCACACTCACAGAACATAGGTCATAAATGCTGAGTATTTCATGGAACAGTGGCCATTGTGGCTTAAAGAAGGTCCCAGGTAATGTGGGGCCCTTGCAGGATGCGTTGGGAAACTTGGTCGTTACACCAGACGACAAAGCTAACATGTTTAACGATTTCTTTGCCTCCATCTTCCTAAGTAGGGACCAGAACAGCAACCTCCCTGCTGGGC